TTATGTTATTGAATTGCATGAACAATGTGATCTATGCTATAAATGATCTAGGGTAGCTTAAGATACTCCCTGAGTCTCATCTTGACATAGATGTTAGGTAGTATGAGCCCCTTTAATGTTTCACCTTAAGATAATAAAATTGTAAAACGTAAGTCGATGCATGCTCATTTCCTATGAGTAGCCTTATGTTACTCACCCCTACGTTATTGGGGCATATTTCAGGTACAGGTTACAAGATATGGAGATTGGCATTCATCTTTGATGGTTTGGAGATTTAAAGTTTCTTTAGAGGATTTCTTGTTCACATGCAAGTGTTCGCATGTTTAGTTTTGCCTATGTAATATAATGTTTCTAACTTGGAGGTTTGACATGTCAAATGTTAAAAATGATTTGTAATAAGGCCGTAGGCCGTTGTACATGTTTAAATGTTGTTTTTACACTTATGTGTATGTTCACGTCATCAATTACTTGCATACAATGAATTTTGATCATGCTATGGGGAATCCACTTGAGACTTGGGAAATTTTCTCCATTTTTGTGCATAGTAGGTTCATGTGCACATTTTTGAGTCATTTCGGTCGACCGAAATGCCCTTTCGGTCGACCAAAGCCTTTTGATTTTGTTTGAACATCAAAAACCTCATTTCCAGTAGCAAATTGCACTGTCCAGGGCCATTTCAGTCGACCGATGGCTTATTTTGGTCGACCGATGGTTCATTTCGGTCTACTGAAGTAACCATACCTCAAGATCATGTTTTTAGCACAATTTTTGTTCATTTCGGTCGTCCGATGGGCCATTTCGGTCAACCGAAATAGCTATATCCTGAGAGAAGTTTCAGTTCAGTTTCAGCACTGTTCTTCTGACTTTGAATGGTCATAACTCCTTTGTTTTAAATCCAAATGGGGTGATTCTTGATCCTAAATTCATATATTTTGAGTCAGATTTCCAACGGTACCAATGTCATTCTCAGATTCCAATCACAATGGGAGTTATTCATGTTTTAGTGAAGTAGTATCAGTTTTTACTTCAACCGGGAAGGGGCATTTTGTGGGATTCTTGTCCAATGTTCTTAGAACCTCTTGGAAAGTCATGAAATGATTAAGTTAGGTTGTTTCCACCTTGTTTGACTTGTTTAGAGTCAAGTTTCTCTTTTTGGTTGTGAGTTGACCATTTTGCCCTTGGTTCATGGTTTTTGTCCGTTTCGACCTTTGTTTCCGTTTTCGTTCTCCTTGAACTCCGTGACTTTTTGGAAGGCGACATTGGTGTCTTAGAGATGGTCTATATCTCTATAGACTTTGGTTCTATCTTTTGCTTCCGCATTTCGGACTCGTTATCGGGTCAACTTTCGGTTCATCACTAACGAACAGGGTTGAAAAACTCGGGTTGCTACAGTTTAGTGTGGCCAAGTTTGAATTTATAGAATGCCACTACCACTACTAACCATTAATGTAGCTAGAGTAAGTAGGGATCGTCCCAAGGAAAATGGAGTGTATTTTTGCTTGGAAATCAATGTTGGATTTGTAGGTCGAATGATCAAAGATGGTTTTGTAGTTGAATTAGACTACAATGTAAACTAAATAAGTGCAATGTAAAGCAATTAAAGTAACATGAGGTGTAGAGAATATAAGAGAGGAGTCTTAGGACTTAGAGTTCACCACTAAGTATTACCTTCCTAGACATTCAATATTTGATAGATTAAGGGGATTATATGTTGTAACGAAAGTGTGTGCCATTAATTGAATTGCCAAGCGTGGATGGCTAAGTAAGCATACATTGTCTAGCCAAACTAGCGAATAACATAACATATCAAGTTAAGTCATTATTCCTTCCCTTAAGTCCACAATTAATGCACATCTTCAAATTAGAGAAATATACTACTTGCATTCATAAGTATGGAACATCAAACAACAAGCATGGATTGTCCACCTATCTAAGAAAGTACGGCAACTACACTACATCTAAGCTAGTGACATGAAAATTAAACTAATTAAACTGAGGAGGTGGCACAATCCATCAAGAAATAAGTATGAACCATCAAACAAACTACAAGAGTAATCTACTTAAGCATCATGCCTTGACCATCACTAGATTCATAATATCAACACACATAAACATGCATCAATATCACAAAATCTAAAAATAAATACATGAACATTCATCCTAGCACATATAGACATATGGATAGAATTAAATGATCAATTTGAAGTATTAAACTACACAAATCATTGTAGCAACAAGATTTTTATATATAAGATGTCAAGACAATAATTACAATACAAATTCCCTTTAATTACAAAACATCAAAGTCTAGGAGGCATGCTTAGGGCTATCTCTAGCCCCAAGAGAATGGTTTAGCCACTCATTAATGGTAGAAATGATCCTCCTCTTCTTGGTAGAAACCCTAGATGAGTGGAAGAACTTTCCCCAAATGGTGTATTTCTCTCTCTAATCTCTAGCCTCCTCCAAACCTCAATATTCTGCCTTAAAATACCAAAATCCTTATATAGGTGGCTCAAATGTCACACCCAATGGTTAGACCTCGTGCACTAAGACCTCCAAATGATTGCACCACGAGCACCCTTTTAATTGGCTGGAACTCTATTTTTCACGCACTTAAAGCAGTTCGATCCATCACAAGGGTGCTTGGATCGATCGAACTATGGCGGCGCCTTTTTGAATAATGATAAAGCTGAGATATTTTTGGGATATTTTAGGAAAAGGACAAAAGTGGTAGGTGAAGATAAGATAAAAAAATGTTGGATCGATCGAAGAATAAGTTGGATGATCGAAGAGGGAAATTTTCCTAAAGGCTCAATCCATCAAAACATAGTTGGAACGATCACTGTGTGATCGGTCGGAGCTTGATTCGATCGATCGAAGAAGACATTTTTTCACCACTTTGCTTCTTTCTTCCACTAAGCTTGAGATTGTTTCTTTTATGCTCTAATTCAGCTGAATTGACTTATTTTGGGGATAAGTGCCTGAAAAGGGAAATAACATGAAATTAGACTAAAACGGGAAAATAAGATTGAATAAGGTCCTAGAACATTCAAGCTTAAGAGGTTTAAATGCATTTTTTTCAGCGCTTATCATCTCTGTAAGGAAGGTAGGTTGTGATGGTCATGTTTTTTCCCCCTTTTTTTGGCATTTATTTATTTGTTTATTCCTTTTCGCGTAACCTTAGGGTTTTATAGAACCTAAGGTAGGGTTTGATGTCCGGAATCTATTTTCGGCACCACATGCATTTGCTTTATTTTATTTTACTGTCGATGCATGACTTAATTGTGTAGAGAATCATGCTTATTTAATTTTATTTTCTAGGGGTATGAATACATAGTTTCTTCGGAAACATTTTCATTTTTCAGGGTTATTTACGTAATTAACTTTTGGAGATATTTTGTCTTAGGGACCTTTTTGCAATTATTTTTGTGAGATATTTAGAAGAGGGACCATTTTGTAATTTTAAAAAAGTATGACAAGTGTCACCTTTTCCTTGGACCATTTGTTGACTTTTTGGTGGAGACACTTGGAAGCTTAGGATGATGACATGTGTAGGGTGGAGATTCAATCTTGTGGGGTGCCTAGGATGGTGACAAGTGGAGGGGCATGATGTGTATGTATGTGAGATATAACGATCTGAATTTTTCAACCCGGTGCGTTGTGATGAACTAAAAATTAACCCGGTAACGAGTCCGAAATGCGGAAGCAAATGATAAACCAAAGTCTTTAGAGATATAAAACATCTCTGAGATACCAATGTGACATTCCATGAGGTCACGAAACTTAAAGTAAACAAAAGAGAAAACGAGAGTCAAAACGGGCAAAATCCGTGAATTAAGGGGCAAAATCCGTCAATTCACAAGAAAAAGGAGGAACTTGACTCTAAACAAGTCAAAAAAGGTGAATACAATATAATCTAATCATTTTATAACATTCCAAGAGGTTTTAAGAACTTTGGACAAGAATCCCACAAAAAGCCCTTTCCCAGTTCAAACCAAATCCCGACACTACTTCACTAAAACATGAATAACTCCTACTATGATTAGAATCTGAGAATGAAATTGGTACCATTGGAAAGCTGACTCAAAATCCATGAATTTAGACTCAAGAATCACCCCATTTGGGTAACAAAATGAAGAAGTTATGGCTGTTTGAAGTTGGAAGATCAGTGTTGAAACTCAACAGAAGCTATGCTCGGGATCTAGCTATTTCGGTCGACCGAAATGAACCATCGGACCACCGAAATGGACAAAATCTCCGCTGAAAACAAGTTTTTAAAAGTTGGTTGGTTCGGTAGACCAAAATGAACCATCGGTCGACCGAAATAGGCCATTAGTCGACCGAAATAGGTCCAAACAATACTTTTGGCTATTGAAAAGTGTGTTTTTGAAATTCAATCAAATACCAAAAGCCATCGGTCGACCGAAATAAACTTTCAGAAGACCGAAATGCTCAAAAAGCTACTGCAATGCTAGGAAAAGGGTTGCAAAAGGAGTACCTCTTTTGCGACCAAACATTTTGGTCGCAAAAGGAGACCTCGTTTGCGACCAAAACTTTTGGTCACAAAAGGAGACAAAAGTTTTGGTCGCAAAAAATGTATCCTTTTGCGACCAAAACCTTTGGTCGTAAAAATAACATTTGGTCGCAAAAGAGCTGTTATTTTGCAACCATCTAGTTTGGTCACAAAAGGGTTTGTCTTTTATGACCTTTTTTTTTGTCGTTGATTACGATTTTTTTTTTTTTGGTCACAAAAAGAATTTTTTTTTTTCACTCATAAATATTGTCGCAAAATTACATATTGTTTGAAAAATGCATTTATATATTTACTTATACATCTTTTAGAACCATATTATATGATAAATGACCACCTTTTGCATTATATATAGTTGTAGCACTTGAACAAAAAAAACAGTTTTACATCCTTAATATATAGTTGTAACATTTGAATAGAAAAAGTTGCCTATGCACCATTATATATATAAATGCCCAAACAAAGTTCATAACAAGAGTCAAAATATATGGACATTTAACAAAAACTATCCTGCCATTTAACAAAAACTATCCTACCATACTCCTAACATATATATATATATATATATATATATATATATATATATATATATACTACAAGTCCTACCTATACACAAATATTACATAATATATTTAAAGCAAATCTATAACAAAATAAGACTTAATTATATCCAAAACAACTCCATTACAAATACCCATGGCATGTCAATTGCATTATCACTAACATGCTTGATTGGAGCAGCAAAAGATGGTGATGAAGCAATTGGAGGCACTGACTTGTGATCAAAAGTTCCCTATAAATATGGCGAATCAAAAAGAGCTTCCTACCTACATTCCGGTCCAACCTGCATAAAGTAATAAAGTAATTAATTCTTATAAACTACATGACTCCTATAAACCACATATCAAGATATATACTTATACAAAACTATTTAGTTATTGAACTTACGCAATCTTTAGTGCTCTTAAAAATAAACTATTAATGAGTATTGAATTGAAAAAGAAAATTAAACTTTGTGATGACCTTTAGTTAGTATTGTTGAGCTTTTCCATGATGGCCTTATACATTTCAGCCATTTTGTTGCATTGCTCTATAGCTTTGGCAGCCTCTCTTTTAGCATCTGAAGCCTCTCTATTAGCGTTTTCAGTTTCTAACTCTAGAAGAGCATTTTTCTCCATAGCATCCCTCTTAAGAGCTTCAATTTCGGACTCCAATATAACATTTCTCTTGTTAGCCACCAAGATTTGCTCACGTAGGCTAGAATTAGAAGATGGAGCTATCATGCCATGTTCGAGGCCACCGACATAAGTTGATGTCGTACCAAGAACTTCATCTACAATATCATCCCTCAATCATTGGAGAATCATTGTCTCCAACTGATTGAGATTCTTGGAGTTTTGCAACCATGGTATCCTATAATTCAAATAATGGTAAATTTTGTTAGAGCAATAGATTGATACATGGAAGGATAGAAAAAAAAATAATAATAAAAGGTTTCTTTCCATAAAGCTCTTTAGCACGTGGACAGCTCCAGCCTTTATCCGGATGAAAATGTGTCTTCTCATAGAGTTTGATCCTGCTAGGAAGTTGTTGTGTTTCGGCATCCCGCTATATAATTACAAATAACAAAAGAATTTTTATTAATTTATTAACTAGACTTACAGAAGAATTGTCACATATTTAAAGAAATATCGAATGATACCAGCTCTTCACGACATCGAACAAATGATTTCGATCCACCACGATGCGGGACTTTGTTCTTTTCCTTATTCTTTTTGTTTGTCTTACTTGCTCGCTACATTCAAAATGTTTAAATTTTGTTCATCAACACATATATATAGTAGCATAATACTAAGCTAAACTATTCAAACGACCCAGCATGTGGATGTCTAAAAAGAAAGAGCAAAATACTATGTAGCAAGTGTAAGGGAATGCAATCCGCTGGTAAAAAGAGCTGCCCCTGCATCAAAAGCAGTGCCCCGTTTGCTGAATTTTCAGATAAAAGAGAGGAAGGCCCTATCACCCATCACCCTTAAATCATTTTTTTCAGGATGAGATAACTAGTGACTAGAGTACACTCAAAGCAATAAGAACAGAGCAACATCTACATCAAGAATTCAAATATACTATGGTAAAGAACACCATCAAACTACATAAATCCAGTCAAAGAAAGATGCTTGATTTCAATTATAAGTCCAGAGATTACTGAACTGTTCGACCAAAAAAAATAAAATAAAAAGAGAGAAAACAAGAATCTTTTTATTCTTAACAATTTCTTCTACTGCCAAAGCAATATGATGATACTCTTAAAACTCAAAAGAAAAAAAGAAAAAAATGCAAATGAAAACAAAATATATTAAGCCAATTCAACTCAGAAGAACTGATCAGTTGAATGCATTATTTCCCTTATGCAGATTTTTTATAAAGATCCATCTGAACTTTTATAAATTTTTTATTTCTTGATTGATAGTTTTAATGTCTTGGAGATCATTAGAAGGTTCATGATTGTGCTCTGAATACATTCATAAAATCTGATAACCATGGATAAAAGCTACTAGTTAAGAAGATGACTGTCGTCTTCTTTTTTTTCTTTTTTTCTTTTTTTCTTTTTTTTTTTTTTTTTTTTTTCCCAAATGGGATGTATAAAAATCGTTTAACAGTAATTGAATCATCTTGTCTGTAATATTGAAAGGGCATTAGCAAAAATCTTTTTATGGCTATTTGCGAGGCAATAAAACTTTTCAAATAAATAATACAAGACCACATTAAACACCGCCCATACCCCAATAGCATTAGTCACAAGAAGACAACAGAAAATACCAAAATATAGGCATATAAAACAACTGAACTCACCTTAAATTGTTCAGACATAAACCTATTGCATACAAGATCCCAGTTTTCTTGAGTGACAGATTTATAAGGATGAGAGTGCACCTCCTCTGGGGAAAACTTGAGAAAATGTCTATGTAGCCTGCATCTGAAATCCTTCAATTGTTTTTTCAGTTGCTTATCAATACATCTCATGATATGGGATTCCTCATATCTCATTTTGAATTTACCCTGAAAAAATAGCCCACTTATTATTTAAGATATAAGTTCTAATGCAATAGTCATTCATAAAGTTAAGCAATAAGATTAAACAAACTATGTACCTTTATAATTTTATAAATCAACTCTTTCTTAGCTTGCAGTATATGCTTCCAATTCTTATGATATGGCGCATGTTGCCGAACCTGGATTCCTAATTCAGTTGTCCACTCTTTGCTCCAACCATTGACAGGCTTCCACATTCCTGGTAGAATCTCAATTTCTATTAAGACTAAATTGTTCTTACTCCGATAGGTATTTAGTGAACAGTTCTTTGATTTTCCTCGACGCTTTACAAATATTGGAGGAACTATAGAAAAAACTAGTGTTAGAAGCTCTTAATTTAATCAACTAGGTAACTAAGAATTAGAATAGACAAGCATGAATGTAATACTAAAGGTAATACAATAGTGGAATAAACCATAACTCAACTCGACTCTACCCATGCCTAAATACTTATAATTTACTAATTATATCAAAAGCTGTGATGTTACCCCAATCAGAAGAAGAGTCGGTGGATGAAGCCACAAGATTTGGACTCGTGGTAAGTGGACTGGGTTCCGAAGGAGAGTCAGTGGATAGAGCAACAACATCTGGACTTGCGGTAAGTGGAATGGGATCCGCAGAAGAACATGTGACAACTTTCGGTGATCTACGACCTGGAGCCATATATTCCGAAAATCTGCATACTATGAAAAGAAATATTAAAAGTTGCAATACATTTCAACATTAACTCATGAAACAGAAGCTTACCAAGGTACATGATGAATTAAGATTACATTTTTTTTTTTCATGAAAGGAATGATTTTATATATGAAAAATAAAATTACAAAAAGAGGAGACATACCTCCCTTTCCATTACAAAACAAAGATGGAGAAACCTATTTCCAATAAAGACCAAAAATAAAAGATGAACTATTACAAAACATTAAGCACTGACAATGGCTAACAAGTCTAATAAAGTAAGACTAAAGATATAGAGAAGATCCCAAACATGCAATAGAAATAGCTATAGAAAAGGCTTCATCTTTGATCCACCAATCGTGGATGAAGGTTACATTATATCATCTGCATCAGTGTCATCATCACTGAGCATTGTTACTTCCTCATCTGTACTGTAATGGATAGATATATCTTCTTCTCCTTCAGTGTCATCATCAAAAAAATTATCATCTCCTTCATCTAATGTCATGTTACCATGAACAATATCAACATCAATATTGTCCAACAACATGACATCCCTATTCAAAAGGCAACATATCCACATCCTCCACATTTGGGATAACCCGATCAACTTCACATTGTTCATATTCTTGATAGGCATCAAGAGTATCACTTTTCATAGCTTCACTTTCATCTTCCACCTCGGCAACATCAAACAATTTTCGTGGTTGGATTTTCTGCACTACTTACCATTGTCCACATAATTTAGTATCACTTACATAAAAAACTTGTTGAACCTGGGATGCAAGAACAAAAGGGTCATTCTCATACCATTTCTGAGAGACATTAACAATAGTGATCGAATGGGAATCTTTGCGCATTCCATTCTTTCTGCCAATATTCCACCAATCACACTTGAAAAGAAAAACCCGTCTCCCCAACAATATTCTAACTCTATAACATCTACTATGACACCATAGAATTCAATATTTTCTGACTCGTGTTGTCCTTCCACAACGACACCACTATTTTGAGTTTTTTGATAATCATCCCATTCCTTGCCATGGAATTGAATTCCATTGACAATGCAACCATTGTATCGTTTTACTCATTCGTCCAGTCCACATACCAATGAATACAAATCATCACTCACTTTGGACGGGTCATTTTGATGGAGTTGTTGGATCTATTAACAGAAATAAAAAATGAATAATCCTTAGTTTCATTAATAAAATTTATATATTTATATGTATATTACACATAATGGTTCCACATAACCTAAACAAATACTTACTCGTTCTTCAAACCATTTAGTGAATTGTTGTGTATGCCTTAGTTGTACATTGTTCGGATCTTCTCTTTGTAGATCTTCCATATGCTTTCTATATAATTAACATATGCTATGTTAATGTATAAAAAAAAAAAAGTCATATGCAATATAACTATATGGATATAATTCTTGTTCTTACTCAAAATAAGGTTGTATTTCGTCACAATTATTAAGCACATGAAATCGAGCTTTAGCGAGATCAGTCATATCCATTATCTCATAAGTTTCAGATCCCAATGGATGAACAATTGGTCTTAAAACAGAGAAATCTCCTTGTTGATGCCCTCTGTCACAATTTCGTTTTTCTTGATTAAATCTTGTCTCAACCCCTCCGAGATACATAGAGCAAAATTTAATACATTCACTATCTATGTAAGCCTCAGCAATTGAACCTTCCGGATGAGCTTTGTTTCGTACATATTGTTTTAGAGTGAAAAGAAACCTATTTACATATGTTACCACACCAATAATTAATTTAAAGGCATTATAGATTTAAATTAAACAACAACAGAAAATATAAGAATACAAATTTTAAAACGCCTTTCAATTGGATACATCCATCTATATTGCACAAGTCCTGCAAGGATAGCTTCACGTGGCAAATGAACAGCTAAATGAACCATTACGTCAAAAAATGCTGGAGGAAAGATCATTTCTAACTTACAAAGTGTAACCACAATGTCTTTTTCTAATTGCTCAAGGATTTCCAATTTCAAAGTCCTACAACACAACTCTTTGAAAAAAAATCCCAACTCAATTAATGCATTGGAAATATCAACATCCAAGTACCCACGAATTGCAATAGGTAGAAGACGTTGCACAAGAACATGTGAATCATGACTTTTCAAGCCAAAGATCTTACACTCTTTAACATGTATGCATCGAGATATGTTTGATGCATATCCATATGGAAACTTCACCGACTTCAACCATTCACAAAAGCTCCTTTGTTTTTCTATTGACAAAGTGTAGCGTGCTGATGGCATCATAAATTTATCTCCATTCCGAATAAGATGCAGCTCTTTTCTAATTCTCATTGCCTCTAAATCAAGGCGAGCTTTCACATTTTCTTTGGTTTTTCCACTAATGTTCATCAATATTCCCAACACATTATCACAAATATTTTTCTCAATGTGCATGACATCCAAATTGTGTCGTAACTTAAGGGATCCCCAATATGGTAACTCAAAGAATATGCTCTTCTTTGTCCAGTTCAATTCATTTGGAGTACATTTTCTCTTTTTATTGTTGGCTCCCTTTCCAAATTTGACAGGTCGTAGACCAAGCAATTGTTCCAACAAGTCATTTCCAGTTAACTCATTTGGTGGTAACCTATCCTCTTTCTTACCGTCAAATTCTTTTTTACATTTCCTCCAAGCATGATTAAGCGACAAGAACCGATGATGACACATGTAACATATCTTTTGTCCATGCTTTAATTTTAAAGAACATGTATCCTCGTTGCAAACTGGACATGCCATGTATCCCTTAGTCATCCATCCGGATAAGTATGCAAATGCACGAAAATCATTTATAGTCCATATCACAGCTACATGCAAACGAAAGTTTTTTCCAGTAGAGGCATCATACGAAACCACACCGTTTTCCCACAGATCTTTCAAGTCATCAATCAATGGTCTTAGATACACATCAATGTCATTTCCAGGTGACTTTGGTCCAGGAATAAGCAACGACATAAATAAAAATGGTTCTTTCATACATTTCCATGGAGGTAAATTGTATGGCATAAGCATAACCGGCCACATGCTATAGGAATTACTCATGTTGCCAAACGGATTGAAACCATCGCTAGCTAGTCCAAGTCGAACATTACGAGGATCATTAGAAAACCAATCATGCTCTTTGTCAAATTCCTCCCAAGCCATAGAATTAGCTGGATGTCTGAATACATCAACTTCTTTTACACGTTTTTCTTTATGCCACCTCATATCTTTCGCTGTCTTCCTTGACATAAATAATCTTTGTAGCCTCAGTTTGATTGGAAAGTATCAAAGAACCTTATGAGGAATTCTCTTACCCTTACCTTCGTTAAATTTATATCTAGATTCCCCACATTCCGGACATTTATCTTTATGTTCATGCTCTTTCCAGAAAATAATACAATCATTTTTGCAAGCATGTATACAAATATAGCCAACACCTAGTTCACGCATTATTCTTTTGGCCTCATAATGTGACTTTGGTAGTGTCTCAGCTGTTTCCAGAAATGCTTCCCTAATGAACTCAAGAGTCATACTAAATGATCTATTATTCCAACGACCAAAGACCTTTAAATGAAACAACCTCAATAGAAAAGATAATTTTGAAAACTTAAGACAACCAGGATATAGTTCACGTTGTGCATCTCTCAATAATCTTTCAAAATTTTCATGTCTCACTTCCTCTTCCAGCACACCAGGTGCACGACTATTAGATGTTCCTCCTTGTTGCACATCTGGAACACGTGTCTCCATGAAAACATCTTCCACCAATTCATTTACCCCATCACCTTCCTCTTCATTATCTGTAACATAATTATTATCAATATCATCATCATCATCAAAATTGTCATTTTCCGTTCCCTGTTCCTCTCCATGAAATTCCCACTGGGTGTAATCTCTATGCATTCTGAATGTGAATAGATGGTCCTCGACCTCATCAATTGGCATTAATATCAAGTTCACACATATACGGCATGGACATCTTGACCTATTGCTTCCATCTGTATGGGAACGGGCCAACCGAATGAATTCTCTAAGTCCTTTAATATATGTTTTAGAATACCTATGCGGATATTGGATCCAACTCTTATCCATATCTAGCTCCCTATAAAAAAAATCGGCAATTGTATCATGAATCCTACTATTTTCAACTTGTGGCTTAACAGGTTAAATAATTTTAGACTGGGAAAGGGGATATAGGGTGAGACTAGTATGTTCAATAAAGCCATCCAGTAAACTAAATCCCGCCAGTCAGATTCATATATAACAGAGTGCGCATCCAATTTCTTATATATATGTATGTTCAAGTATATTTGTGCTTTAAAGGAATTATATATGTAGTTTAATTTTCTTAAGTTTTTTAAGAATTCTAAAATATAGAACACATTAAAGAAATAAAAAACAAAAATGTGAGAAAGGTTCCCTGGAGCCTATTTTTAACTCTTTTTGTAGACTAATTTTATTAAATAGATTTGTCTATTTCTTAAAGCATGATGTCATTTACAGGCAAATTTTGAATGGATATAAATTTTTGTTATAACAATTCATCCCATTGAATTCGACAACTCATATTAAGACCACTGAATCCCACTAACTTGAAAATTATCTACTTGTAATAGAGAAACAATAATGAATGTCCATAGAGAAACATGTAATATGCAAAGTTAAGCATTAGCCTATGTTAACAATATAAAAAATTTAAATAAAAAATGATCAAAACACAATAAAAATATAATTGAATGAAAACCAACAAACCAGAGCAACAATTTGAATAAAAGGAAGTCACGATAACAGCGCCCTTGTCTCAAGCAGTGTTTATAGCCCACCGTCAGAACCTGCTAAACATAGAAATTTATTATGCTTAAATAACATCCCAAATTCAGATTTAAAAGGAAAAATCAAATAAGTGTGTGTGAAAACAACGAAAAAATGATTAGCTAAGAGAAACTTGGACATTAGTTATCAGATAATTGTTAAATTAAAAAGCTTATAATTCTAGGAAGTGGGGAGTGAAGTTGCAGTCGTAGTACTACAGGCTCAAGCTTTGAGAATTATGGGGAGTGAAGTTTCACCAAGGTTAAACATGTTGGCCAACTACAAGCACAAATTGTGTGGACTACACGCCCTAGTTGCTAAGCATGGCCATCTTTACATCATCATTTTCACAGGATATCTACTAACGTTACTACAATGACATAACACTTGGTATCCATCTCTATCTACACAACACATTATGATTTATGAGCTGTTGATGAGAGTGTAAAGCTTCCACTTTACCCTTAAATTATAGTGGCATAACTTGGCAGAGGATAGTATTCCAAACAGAACTGGGTTTGAAATCAAAAGATGAAGAAAACTCATCATGCACCATAGATATATATATATATATATATATAAAAGGATCATATATAGCACTAGTTTCCATCTTCTGTCACAGTTTCCTTTGTTCTAAAACTATCATCAAGAGAGTCAAATGGTTTGCTTGGTTTCACTTTCCTTCCTCTACTCATCCCATTTACAAGAGAAAGTGTTAGATTTATTAGTGATTAACATGCAATAGTACTACTTTTTTACAATTTGTAAAAATCTTCTCAATTACCAATTCTTATTATATACTATCATTTTTAGCTTTTTCAAGATGCAAATTAAGTAAAGTTTTGTTTCTCTACTATGTTGCACTTGCTCTTTGTTTTAAGCTGGAGAAAATCAGTATTTTCAAATTAAACAAGAGTTATGCAAACATGATCATATAAGTGGTTGCATCAACAGTATGTACTGAGAGAAAGCAGATGTAGTAGGTTGAGTAAAATCAAGAACTAGTGACGTGGAGTTGATGCCACATCCTCATCAATTAATCTGGCTTGTGTTTTGCTATTTCTGGAAAAATTATGTATTAAAATATAAACTTAAATAGCAAGCCACTTATATATAGCTTAGAATTATAAGTTTAATTTACAACCACAAAATGTACTTCTTCTTAGTTATAATATATATTTTTCCAGCATAACTAATTAATAGTACTAATTAAATAAAGGTAATGGAAATTGACACCAACTGATACCCATCATCAGCAATGAAATGCCACCCTATTGGAAGTCGAAGAATATTATTATCAGTTGGTTGGCCAAATAGTGTTTAACTGCCTGTACTTGTTCTTGTCTTAGATCCCTTTTATTTTATATAGAGAGAGAGATTACAGAGAGATTAGAGATAGATTATTCTCTTAACTTTAATTAATTAATTAATTTATATAGAGAGATTGTCTTACATCCCTTTTATTTATATACAGAGAGAGAGATTAGAGAGAGATTATTCTCTTAACTTTAATTAATTAATTAATTAATTTATATCTGCCTGTACTTGTTCTTGTCTTAGATCCCTTTTATTTTATATATAGAGAGAGATTACAGAGAGATTAGAGATAGATTATTCTCTTAACTTTAATTAATTAATTTATTTACATAGAGAGAGATTGTCTTAGATCCCTTTTATTTATATACAGAGAGAGAGATTACAGAGAGATTAGAGAGAGATTATTCTCTTAACTTTAATTAATTAATTAATTAATTTATATATAGAGAGAGGGAGAGATTAGCATGCGCCATGTTACCATCTTAATTATTTTATTGACTTCGGCCGTTAAACCCTAGAATGGTTACTAGAATAGGGATTATCAAATAACAAAATCTATAATCTAAAATTAGAATAGGGGGTTTTCAAAATACAATCTAAAACCCTTGTGCAACAATGAAGATCTGAAGAAAAAGAGAGGAGTGAAGGCAAGGGAACTTAGAGTGAAGACAAGAGAACTTACTTTTAAATATGAAAATAGCATATATATCCTTCTACTGTTGGAGATCACCAATGAAAACCTTGTAATCTGTTAGGAAAGATGAAATTGTGATGAAAACTTTGCATAACGATGAAGAGGAAGAAATGAAGACACGAATATTGTTCACCTCGTGGAGATCGCCATTGAGCCCTACATGAACTGAACCATGAATACTGAGAATGAAGTGGGCCGTGTCTAGGTATCAGGGAAATGAAAAATACATAATTAAGTTCACCACCTTTTTTTCCCGGTTAAAATTTAGGGTGTGTTTGGTAGGGTTGATTTGGAGGGATAGGGAGAGAAAAGAAAAGAGAGGATAGTGTAGTGTGTGTTTGGATAAGTTAAGTGGAGGGATAGGGAGGGATAAGGAGAGATAGGAAGGGATAACTATCCCTCCTTATCTTTCATTTGCTTTCTCCTCAATTTTGAGAAGATAAGGAGAGATAGGGAGAGAAAGGATAGTGATTTTAGTGGTATTTTGATAATACCAAAATTAGCCTCCACAAATCAATACACAGATTTATTATTCCATTCAAGTACCATGGTTATGAAAGGATAAAAAAGTAATTTGTCTATTATCCTTTCTTTTCTTTTCTCTCCTCTATCTTATCCAAACAAGAATAACTATCCTTTCTTTTCTTTTTTCCCCGGTCTATCCAAACACAAATAGAAATTATTACTATCATTTCTTTTCTTTTTTTTTCTTTTCTTTTCTCTCATAACTAATACTATCCAGTATATGTAAGTAATTTAGTGAAAAGATGTATAAAAAGTAAAATATATATGAGAAATTAAATGCTTTTAATATAAAAATAATAATAATAAGTAGATACTTACATATACTGATAAATATTATTTTTGATATTTTTTTATTTAAGTCCTAAAATAGATTTGTTCCTTAATTTACATATACAATGATCGATGATGGAAAAATTGGGATTTTAAGTGAGGGAGGCACGCTATCAAAAAAAAAATACCATTAAAAATAAGAATTTTAAGAGTAAAAGTAGAAAAAGAAAAATAAAAAAACTTTAAAAAGAAAAAGTTAAAAAAAAATTAATTGAAGAAGGAAATTTTGACTTTTCTATTAAAGAAATTTAAGGAATTTAAAGACTAAAGAGAATAAAGAAAAAATAAAGAGATAATTTTAAAAACCACAAAATTTAGAGAGAGCACTGTATAATTTTTTTCATATATATGAAAAAAATTAAAAAAAAAATTACCACATATATTATAAAGTGCGGGCAACCTCAGGGGGCACGTGCCCCCCTAGGCGTTCATTGGCTCCGTCCGTGCTTGCTAAAATATTGATCAATTAATAATAACTTTACTCAATAATTGATGATGAAGAAGTTAGCGTGACTTGCTATAAAATTATAATTGATTGAAATATATATTTGTAAAGAACGTTCGAAAAGTTTAATTATTAGCTATTACTTATAAATGCATTTATAGAGACTGTCACATTTAAAATTTTTAATTATATAATGTATTTAATTAATATATAATTTATGTTTTAACATTGGCCATTATGCGAAAAATAAGAAAAACAAAATTCAACATTTATCTAAAGTAAAAACATTTTGTTAAAAAAGTTATAAATATTTAAATTTCCTTCAAAAAAAAACAATTTTTTTTTTTAGTTTAGGACATTCAATTCCAAGATATCACTCAAAGTGGATGGTGAGGGCTTGAGTACCCAAAGGGGCAAAGTGAGTGTGAGTAATGTGTGTTTATTTTGACAATGAAAAAATAAATACTAACAATTACTGATAAATTGTAATACCCCTAATTTAACAAGGATAATTCTGGAATTTATTTAATTATTTAAATTGTGTTTTATAGATTTAGTTGTGAATTTGTTGATTTAATTGTGAATTATTTAAATGACTTGTTTTTCTTTGATTGTTTTATTTTATTTGTTTTTATTCAATTGTTTATTTAATTGGGTTTTAATTTTTGGAATGTAATTGTTTTCTTTAAATAGAATTAATTATTTTTCTTAAAATTGAATTAATTGTTAAATGATTTAATTTAGTATAAATGGATTTTCTATAAATAGAGTTTTATGTTAGTGGGATTAATTAAGGGTTTTGGTTTTAGAAGTCACGTATGTAGCCGACATAATTAAGCATTAATTAGGTTTCATATGGGCCGACTAAGGATTTAGTTTAGGGTTTAAATTAAACTAGGGTTTTGTGTAAACTTATAAACCTATAAATATATCTGTATAAGGCTGTCAAGGGTTTAGAACCCTAACCACGTTGTGGAGACAGAAGAAACAGAGAGGAGGAAAACCAAAGGGGCGCCGGGAAAACTTAGAAGAAAGACGCTGAGATTTCTGAACCGAGTCTCACAGGCAAGTTCTATAACTAGCTCTACCTCTTTGACTTGTGTTCTTTGCATCCCTAACACAATCTCAGGATGAAATAAGGATTAAAATAAATCTGGTTCGCATGCTTGCATTATTTAATAAACATATGTTTATGAACTGTTAAATTGTTCGTTTTTCAGTGTTGTTTGTTTTATTGTTTTGTTTTACTTAATTCATGATTTTAATGATTTCCATTGAAGGATTAAGAATTTTAATAGTTCTAAAACATAGTGGGAAATATTAAAATTAATCTGGGTCGCAGGGCTAGATACCTGAAACAGTATGTGTTCTTGTATGGATTTTAATCCACTTAGAAGCTGTTTTGTGTAATTCTTGTTCCATATGATTTGGTTAATAAGTTATGAATTTAATTAACTTTGGAACTCCTAAGACTTAGTTTTAATCAGTAATAAACTTAGTTGGAGGAATACAAATGCCAGACACCGCCGGAACTGGAGAAGAAGACGCACAAGGGAAAGAGGAATAGAGCAGGCTCCATTAAAAGATTGAGCAGGCTCAATCTAAGGATGGAGCCGGCTCTTT